TCAGTCTCGGGTCATTTGGGACAGGCTCGTTGGCAAATGGGGAATGAAACCCATCGAACTCAGATGGACTCTTATCGCCCCGAACCTAGTCGATCCGACTACGACAGAGATGTGGATAGAAGGTGGTCTTCTCGACCTACGTCTTGAGAATCGATTGCTCGAAGGGATAACCGCCCTAACCCGAGAGACTCGAATCCCGATCCTTCCCCTTCTAGTGTGGTACCGTATAGCGCCGGAGGGCCACAGTCAATTCCGCGGATGCCAACTTTCACGATGCCAGTCAATCCTATGTGGGTGGTGGACAGCAACACCAACACTGCCATGCCTGCCTTCATCGTCAACCTGGCAGCTCCTCCAATGACTGTTCATCCTCCTCCTACGAGCCGGCCCTACCCCCCGCCCGTGCAGTACCCGGGATCGGATCTGTACCCATCCTCCTCCGGTGGGGCTCAGTACGATTCCCTCCATCCGGATTCCTATCACGAGCGTTCGAGAAGCCGGTCGCCCTGGAGAGACGACCTGCAGAGATACACCCCTCAGGGACCACGTCATGGTCGTTAGGAGACTGGGGGGCGATGTTACAGATACGGAGTCTCCAATGACCATATCCGTCGAATGGTCAAAGACTTCCCCTCTCTATCGTTCCTCCCCTCTTTCTCCCTTCCGCCCTCTATCCCGATACCCTATCCTCCTTACCCGTTCTACCCCTTTCCCCCCCCTCATGCAAAGCTTTCCCCATTGGGGTTTTGGTGCTGGCCAAGGTTATTTGTGTTTCACGGGATTTCCCACAACCTTACCATTTGTAGATAGTCATGCGTCTTGTATGGAAACCGCCGAAGGTGGTTCCCGCTAACTAACAACTGCTCTACAACTGTCTCGTGTACCGTCTTCTGTAACAACCCTCCCTGTGACTCAACTGAACCCGTGTGACTGTACAACTCTCAATATGTCTTATAAGTCTGGTTATATCGAGTCCTCTAATGGCCCTCGCCACGAGAACTTGAGGTCGAGAGTCGAAGACTCTCAACATGTGTATCGTCCTATCGAATCTGTACCCTATGGGTCCTCATCACTCCGCTCTCCCCCCAGTACTCAACATACGACGTCACCTCACGATCATGGAGATCGTGAATACTTTGAGGCCCACCTTCCCATGATGCCAGCACATTCGCTACGCGAATGCCAAGTCACCGCCCATCCACCATCTGTTTCCTTTGCCAGTCATCATGTTTCCCCACCAACAGTACGTTCCCTTTGGGAACGCCAAGTCACCGAAGGCCCTACTAGTCAGTCCTCATTGCACGCTTATGACATCAACCCGCTACCGGTACGTTTGCACTGCGAACGCCAAGTACCCGATGGCAACTATACGAAGTTCTCACCCATCTCACAAGTCGTGACCTCGCACACGGTACACTCCATTGAGGAGCGCCAAGTACCCATGGTTGACCCATCCATCCTGGCATCTCTGACTACCTACCATCAATCCCTTAATAGCTCACTACATCACCAATCGTGATCGATGGGAATTCGATCATCCACCCCCAGGCAAGACTGGGATCACTCATCGATTACATATCCTGTTATGGTACAGACCAGATATGACCTCACTCATCCCACTATAAGAACGGATCGAGGAATGGGGAATTTCCCCCATCCCCATAACAATCACCCCCTGCCTCCCTTTGAGTGCTCCATGGGCTATGGCAACCCTAATGCACCACACACACGTCGCCGTAGGAGTCAAGGATGCTATCGACGCTGCCCACCAGAACCCAGCCCCAAAAGACTTCAAGAAGGCAGACACGCCTCCCGACGATCCCCCATCCAGCACCTAGAAGAACGGCGTCACCATCCCCTTGGTCAACTCCCATGGTGCCACCCATCCAGAAGGTTGCACCACCCGCTGATAGTCTCACTAGACTAAGTGAGATGCCCATAGCCATAGTACCAGCACCAAAGATTCCACTTGCAAGGGATTTTATCATCAAGAAGTTAGAGAGGGTTATCAGCACCGTACCCAAGGACCCCACTACATCTGTCTGACAATAGAGAGAGAGACCTACCCCCCCCCCCAGACCTGAGTTGCGAGTCTAGATCAATAGACCCGTTACAAGTCTGGTGGTCCTTACAAGGGGGGTACACTTCTCTTGTCATCACGCAAGTTTCACACTGTTCATTCGTTTGAAAAACTTATCATTCGCTGTGGATATCAAGTATTGTTGGTTGCAGACACAGAAAAACAAGACTAGTATAAGCCCAGGAATCCAAGTGGGATCCATACACATTAGACGCACACACTCGCTGCAATTGTCCACTCCTGGAGGATCTCAAGAAGAGGCACAGGAGTCCGTGTTTGGGATCTACGAGTTACGGATCTGCACGGTTTGCACAAGTTTGCCCAAATCTATCGTGATTGTTGTCTCCTGGCAGACCTCAAGACGAGGTACAGGAGTCTGTTTTATTTGTTGGTCAAGTCACTCCCTCCTGGTGGATCTCAAGACGAGGCACAGGAGCCTGTTTTTCAGGTGTTTTCCACACATTTACTCGCATTCTACTTGTATTTGACTTCAAGTTATTCTCATTCATTCACGTTCATTCATTCCCCATTGCCGGACATCAAGAGGCATAGGGATTCACGATAACATTATCATATCGGGCCCAGAGTCGCCCGGACGTTCTAGAAGCCCACTCCCGAGTTTTTACTTTCAGGTTGATCTTTTGCATGGATCCAAGTCTTGCCATTGTAGCGCCCATGTTTTATGCGCCCATGCCGATGCCCCACAACCCAGATGCACCCCGATTCAGAGGCAAATGGATTGTCAAGTTCCTTAACAAATACGAGTCACTGGCTGATGCAGCACTTTTCACAGAAGCTCATAAATGCGATTTTCTGACCACTTACTGCACTGACAAGGAAGTGAGGTTTATTTCCACGCTGGACAGATTCAAGAACCCAAATTGGGTGTCACTCAAGAAAGACCTGCTGGACTTTTATGGTGTTGACAAAGAACAGCCTCGATATCGCATGAAGGATCTCCACAACTTCGTAGAGAAAGGTTGCAAAATGAAGACTGGCGATGTAACGGGTCTATCGCCTAGACTCGAGACAGAGAGAAGGGGGAGGGTGGTAGTGTGCACAGGTGTGGTTCGTGAGGCCGGGTCTTGGTCCGTGGGCGCTACTGAGTCTGCAAAAACCTCAAACAAACACTCACCTACGTCTCTCTTGGACATCAAGGCTGAGTATTATGATGTGAGGGGTCTTAGACGTGAGCAACTAGCTCAGAGGGGGCGTTAGGGTCGTGGATGGCGTCTTTGCCACTTGGATGCAACTTCTGCTTGTCCCTTCACGGGTCTATTCAATACTAACTTGTTATGTACAAGCTGTTATCTAGTTTATATATGTTTGAAATGGAATGAATGGACTGGGGGAATGTAAACGGGCCGTTAGGCAACCGTAAATGATGAATATCCAACTGGGAACAAAGAAACAATAAAAGAAATATGAATGAATGGGGGATATATCATAACGGGTCCGAAATGGGAAATGTAAAAGTTAACTCCGCAACGCTTCGCCACAGCGCCCGCCTATCCTCCCTTCAGCAACCTCCTCGTCTCCAGCTTTCCAACGAGCCCCTATTCGTCCCATTTGGTGCAGTAGTTGTTGAGATGTGGCCATTGACAGGTGCTGTCAAGACCACGTGAGACTCTACTCCGTGCTGAACCATCCAGGCATGGGATTGCCATTCTGGGAAATGCTCCGGGGGTGAAGAAGGAAGGTAGAGCATCACTATCGGGTGGAAAAACGGCTGGGTTGTATGTGTAGGTATGGAGATCTGGAGAGGGGGTGAAATTGGCGGCGTGGTTGGGCGTGGGAATTTTGCTTGGGGTTGTCGGGAATGATGGGGAAAATAGGGAAAAATAAGGAATGAGTTTGTGGAGTGTTGGATAGTAATAGAATGAGTATCGGGAGCGTCAGCGGATATGTAGTGTGTGTTAGGGACCAAATTCCGCAGAATCCGACTTTTTGCGGTACATGGAGTTGTCCCCACAACAGCGACCAGCTTAACCGATATTTGCGCAAGTTTAGTGCTATTTCCAAGTCCTTAGATGCACAGGGTGCCCTCACCGTCGTTGAGCGCAATGTGTTGTTTTTCCATGGATTTCCGTCGAAGTTTAGAAAAGAGATCAAGTTTGACCTGCAAGTTCAAAGCCTGTGGCTTGATTTGACTCAGCCCCCCAGCATGCACGATGTTATTGCAGCGGCGAGGGCCATGCTGCAAGATGCCCACGATCACAAAAGAGCTAGCTCCTATTCATCGATGTCCGATGTGCGGACCAGTGTACATGTCGCTTCACCAGTACTTTCGACGCAGTCCACAGTCCAGAGTGATTTCGTGCCCGAGTTCGATGCAGAGACAAGTGCCAGTGGCTCGATGCTAGATCAGATGGACCAGCACCAATCTGAAGCATGCGAAGCGCAGAGCGCCTACGGAACCAAGATCATTATGTCCGGAGATTATGTGGCTGAGCCCGAATTTGATGATGCAAGCCTAGAGGCAAGTGCCTGTGACAGTGCAAGTTGTTCCGAGGTGCTAGAGCTCAATGATCAAGAGCTAAGGCCTAGCAGCCTCAAACCTGTCTCAGAACCCGACGTTCTTGAAGATCAAGTCTGCCAGACCTTAGAGCCGGCTGCGATCTACTCAGTGCCTCCAGACAAAGCCGGAGAGCCTCAGCCAACGAAAATAGTCAATGATGTCTTTGATTCAGACTCGCATTCTGATAACAAGAACTTTTGCGAAACACCCCATGATGTACCTAGCCTTGACTTGGATTCGTGCCGTGACAACGAAAGTCCCCATGAGACAGTTTATGAGTGCTTCGATCTGGACTCATATTTCGGTGATGGTACTGATAGTGAACCGGGTGATGACTACGATCCTGACTGGGAGTCGTACATTGAGAAAGCTAAAGGCACGGAATTGAGCCACAGATCAGAGATGCCAAGTGTCGCCGAGTCCGGCATGGAGATGAGCTCCTGCGATGCCCTTACCAGTTCCTCTGTATTGCCAGAGCCTGATGACAAAGAGCTGAGGCCTAACGGCCTTGAGTATGTCTATGAACGCAACTCCTTCGCTGAAGACCTAGGTCCCTCAAAGCAAGTGCCTACCAAGCCACTAGATCAATGCCTGTCCAAAACACTCACAACACCCAGTGCTGCTGAGGCGAAGTCGATTGCCATACCACTGAGTTATGAGTCCGAGCAAGAGCTTGACGATGCAAGCTACTTTGACGTACTAGAGCATAGCTATAAAGAGCTTAAGCCTAGGGGCCTTGAATGCACATTGGAATCTGAGATTCTCATGCAAGACCTCATTTGCCCATATGAAGTCAAAGAGCCTCAGTCAATGGAGGCGATCGGATTTTATGACGAGTTTCACCTGGCCAAGTACAGCGAATCTTGCCGCAAAAGTTCTGAGCACAAGTCAGATGTGTTCAGGTTGAAATTTGAGTTAGAAACGTCGCCTATGTCCAAGGATGCGACTGTACTGCCATCTAGCGGAGACTACTACCTTACATATGCGCGAGGAGAGCGTGTCTCAGAACAGGCAATGGCAACAGATGTCTTATGTCGAAGTAAGGTCGAGCCTATGTCCCCCAGCATGAGCCCATGCCACAACGTGTTTATTCCCAAACTGTTGTTACTGGTTGAACATCTCATCCCAGCCAAGGCAACCAGAGTAGTGCCGGCCATATCACTTGATCAAGATTATGCCAAGTTACCCCCGCATGCGCTGATCCTTACGCCAGAGATGTGCAGATCCAACCAGCCGAGGCTTAGTGATAGCCAAAATCCTATTTCACATAGTGCTCCATGCCACTCAAAACCAGCCATAGCAGTCGGCCATGTCAAGTGCCCAGCTGGGACACGCTGCGAGCATTCCGCTGAGCCCCAAGCCGAACCTCTGTCCAGAGCCAAGTCTGAGTTGGACCAGTTACTTAATGACTTAGAGTCGTTCATCATTGAAGACCGTAACGACGCTGAGACCCCCATTGAGCTTGGGGATGCCAAGTCATCGAGTCCAGAGGTGACTCGCGCCCTCCACTTGAAATCTGGCCATTGACCGCTGTCATTGCCAGGAGTGTAGGTTGTGGCATAAGATGGACCCAATGCCTCAAGTGCGGACTTCCAAAAGATGGATGGTCATATTTCGCTGTTGCTTCCAAGAATGTCCAGCTGGAATTGTTTCTGCACGGTGTCAGGCTTCCTTGCAACCTTCCCATACTTGTCCTTCCTTGGTACCAAGAGTGTAACCATGATGCAGATTGGTTTGAAGTGTTCGCTAAGCTCGCTTCCTCTGTCGTCTTCTTCATTGGCCATCTCTCCCAGTTGAAAATTGGTTTGCATGTTGGGGAGGGGGGGGAAGTCAGGCAGGGCAGATGGACATTCTCAACAATCCTACCCCTTCTTCTACTTCATTTTCTATTGGAAATGGCGAGTCACCGGAGATATCCGGGACATATGTGGAGGATGTGACTAAGCGCTTGCATAAATGCCATGCATAGGAAGCTCCGGATTGCCGATGCATAGTATAAATATGGGTGCTTTAGCACCGTATGTTCTTTAGTCACAGTTTCTCTTCTCACTTCTATCTTACATCTGTGCTACGAGTGAGCCGCTGGGAACTGGGTTGCCTTATCTGGAACGCCATTTACAACATTTTCCATTATTTTGTTCCGCATTTGTTGCTACCCAGATCTCACTAATGCTCAAAAGTACTAGTCCTCTTTGAAATTCATGATCTCCCTAATCGGTACTTCCCACTGTCTGACACCTCTCTCATGTATGTAAGGTATGCGCTGTGACCACCTGAAGGCCCCTAGACCCAGTGTGCATACCGCAACAATGACTTCAACTCACAAGCAGCCCCTCCCAGGCTCTGCTGACACGAATGACAGGAAGCAGAGCACTTTCCCCTTTAGGGACTCAATGCTATCGGTACGTAATTGATTGCACACACTTCTTTTTGCTGATTCGGGTCAAACAGGGTTTTCGCTTGCTCAACTTTTCTCTACTATTTCGGTTTTTGCTGTAATTGTACTTGTTGCCTACCACAAACTGATGCTAGATAATGCTACAGTTGTGTGTGAAGTAGTGGAAGGAAAGGCTAAGGTAGGGGCAGAAAGTTTTATAGTTTATTTTCTTGTATGTACATCGAGAAATATATATGTGCTTTCCAGACGTGGATTGGACAAGAAATCAATGTAGTATATTATCAGCCACTACCAAATCCCCATCATTTCCCGGCCCCAACCATTGTAAAGTGACGCTCAATCTGCCAGCAGACAGAACCAATATCCGCTGTGGGAAATTGCGTGGAAATCCGGTTATCCCTGCCATTTCCACAGTGGAAATTTTTGGCTTAAATGCAGTGAATGTTTTCAAAGTTCCATGCAGGGCCAATTGCCAGCAGCCATCAGATGCATCAACTGCACTGTGGCAGCATGGTGGCCAACTCCAGGCCATGCAGTAGCATGGGAGTGAAGTCAGCAAGAAGTCATTTAGATCGGAGATTTGGAGCAGAAGTGAGCATACCATCTGTCCCAATCCTAGTGTCCAACTAAGAGTTCTCTTGGAATTGGTAGTTGATTTGCCTCAGATCAAGACAGTAGCGACCCCCTTAAGTAAAGACAGGCCAGATAAATTTCCACCCTTACTGTCTCCCTTGGAGCCTGCCCTGGTGTTGTCCGACAGCATGGAAGAAGGCACCCTTGAAGTTTGGTGACTTTCCGATGTTTTAGTGTTCTTGGAGAACTTTCCCATAATTTTCTTTACCAGAGACAGGCATGATAAACTTTTGCCTCCTTGGTGTTTCCCCTGGTATCATCCAACAAAGGCCCAAGAGAGGGCACCCTTAAAGGTCGGTGACCCTGCAATGATCTTAATTTTCTCAGGAAGAGGCATATCGTGGTGGCAGTTGAACAGTTCAACACATTGCTAAATCATGAAGTATGGGGCATGACCTGTTAGCGAGTAGAATAAAACTAAGAATATGGCAGATGCAGGAATCTACGCGCTCCCTTTAACTTCCGCGCAGGGGCGACATCCGGAACAAAAACACACAAAGGGGCTAGACCCATGTATATTTGCAGAGGTCGAAACAGCGTTAGGTGAGCAACCATTGCCATAGCACAAGGCCCGGGTTGTTGTCATCTTCACAAGATGGTCAGTTGCAGGAAGCACTTGATAGTTACATTCAAACAACAATATTCATGAGCAGAAATGTTCAGCCTCGTGCATGACGCGCCTTTTAAAATCTGAAGAGTGTCCAAGCCTCCGCTTACGAGCATGAATAGCACCTCCAGCTGGAGTAGTATCATGTGAGCAGCTGACTAGAAGTATGTAGTCCAACGCTAATTTCCCCGGGCTCCGGGACCTTCCCGGAAAGGGTATTTCTAAGGTCTTCGGCAAAAAAAAAAAACAACTCGGGCCGAGTCGCGATTAGATGGTCACGCGATCGCTGGGTAAAAATGGAGCAAAACGAAAATAACCCGGAACCCTGGCCGCGATGAGATCCCAACTGTGGCCTAGCTTCTCCTTCCAGGGTTTCGTCGTGTTTCTGTGCCTGGGATTAGTCAGAATCTACAATTTTCACGCCGCTGGATGGGCAATTACCTTGATTTGCCCATGAAGCCGCTAAAGTATTGATTAACTTAGGAGTTCAAGAGAGCAGGGAATTGCATGCACCACACCTCAAACTGAATTTGGACATCTTTTTGCATACTTATCATTCCTATATGGACCTGAATTGCTTGCGAAGCCTGCATCCGTGTAGATGACATTTAGCATATCGCGTATGCTTTGTAGAAGGTTACTTACTTGGAAGGCTGCCACGGCGCCGCGTATCCTCTCCCCAGCCAGGCGAACATCCCCTTCGATTTTGTCACGATTTGCCCACAGGTAGGCAGGGTTTTTGTCTAGATACGATTGCAATGGTGCGGTGGTCGCAGCGATTTCACTGAAGATACGGTCAGATTGTCCCGACGCTGAGAAGCAGTCAGAGGCGTAAACATACGTTGATACAGCCTCGATAGCCCTAGAAATCCCGTGAGGAACAGGATCCTTGGCACCATATTGCTTGAGAGGCTCCGATATTGAGTGAACAAATAATTCGATGTTGTGCTGGAGTTGACGAATCGCATCAGCGTTTGCTCCGAATCTCTGTGGCAGCCAAGGTTGTGAGTATGATGTTCCCATAAACCCGCTTTAGCAGAACGCACCTCTAATTGGCTAACAACTTCAAGGAAACCACCGATCACACTTTTGAGGCCAGGAACAGGGACACCATCTAGGCTCGCATGCACGACACGAAGCACGCTCAGAACACCGTTCCGGATGGATCCGGCACCTGTGCCGCTCCCGATGCCTCCCTTGGCATCACCTCTGGTGTCAACCGCAGGCGACGGCCAGTGTGTAGTGGAAGGCGCTCTCGAAGCTCGATGGCTTTTCCACGATCTGGGTCTCTTTGAAAACATCCCCTTAATCCCTTTTGCCAAAGACAGGCCGGATAAATTTCCACCCTTATTGTCTCCCTTGGAGTCTGCCCTGATGTCGTCCGGCGGCGTGGAAGGGGGCGCCCTTGAAGCTCGGTGACCTCCCAATGTTTTGGCGCCCTTAGAGAATTTCCCCGTAATTTTCTTTACCAAAGACAGGCATGATAAACTTTTGCCTCCTTTGGCATTTCCCCTGGTATCGTCCGACAAATGCCCGAGATGAGGCGCCCTTGAAGGTTGGTGACCCTGCAATAATTTGGCTTTCTTCGAGAAAGTTTCCTTAATTTTCTCAGCAAGAGACATGTCGTGGCGGTGGTCGAGCAAGACTGACAGTACGTTGCTTGATCACGAAGTAAGCGCACAGCCCTGAAATCCTCTAATTCCCACACAACAAGCGCCCCTTCTGTCATTCAGTATGAGGGGCCAGAATGCATGTGTTCGAGATAACCTGACACATTGTAGCTTGGGTTTCATGAACGGAAGGTCAATGAATGGGGAACCGTCACCAACCACATTATCTATCTCTCTGTACGAACTGAAATATCGGGCCTGTCCACTGCCATCGATCAATTTGGTGACTCCGAAGTGTGATGGGAACAAGGAGGCAGCCAGATGTTGCAGATGTTGGAGTGGGAGAGCGACCAGGTACTGTGCGGCTTGTCAGGGAGCAGGGAGCAGGAGCAGGGGACAATCATCAACAGACCTAGCGTGGTCTTACTCCTGATCACCGCACCGTCCACAGCCACTATTACGCTTCGACCACCGGCCCGACCAAGGGGACACAGCCCTGGCGCCAGCCCTCGACAGTTCGATGATTCCAATGATTGACATCGAGTTTCATAAACACCTTGACGCGGTATTTGATGAATAGAGATGCCGGTTTCTGAGAAGATAGCCCCGACGCTCACCAAATCAGCAGTCTTCTTTCCTTCGATAACTTTAAACCCGGTCGCCAGGGTGTGGGTGAACCTAGATAGCGCGTGGAAGCGGGCAGGACTTGGGCCACACGCACGCACAGATGGATATGCTAGTACTGATGTCTGAGATGAATCCCGACCGTTCTCCAGCTCTGAACACGCACCCATTCATGCGAAAGGGCATAAACGTCAGCGATGCGAAACCCACTGGGATGTTTGTAAGCCTAGTGTTCATGGGTGTCAACGCAGACTGGGCCCCTTGCATTGGAGATGAGACTGGGGCACGACCTGTTAGCGAGTAAAATATAGCCAAGAACATGAATCTACCCGCCTCCTTGCATGGTCGACATTCGGAACAAAAGCACACAAAGGGGCTAGACCCATGTATATTTTGAGGGGTCGAAACAACGTTAAGTAAGCAACTGCTGCCATTACACAAGGCCCGGGTTGTTGTCCTACAAGATGGTCAGTTGGCGATAGAGGCAAAGCTTCAAACTCGTGGCAATGGTGAAAGGCAATTGCCTAGCTACACCGTTGCCGAGCAGGGCCAGGTTGTTTGCATCCGCACCTATTACTCGTCACGGGAACACAGTAATATGGTACTATAGGTGCACCACCTGACTTACCCTCTTAGATACTGTCGGAGTGTGTTGGTTTTCACTATGTGTTGTTACGGACCAACGAGGTCGGCTTGTATGTCTTACCTTAGCTGCTTTGTAGCGGAGTTGGCCGAATTTATTCGTTTATTCGTTTATTCGCCCTTTGGGTGCATGCACCGCTGCACTGGTGCACTCGAGTGAAAATGCCCACAACTGCGCAAACGCCCGGAGGGCCCGGAGAAGCTCTGGGGTACCGTGACCTGGAAACTCGGAAAACGCTCTATGCCGCGGCCTTCTTCGGAGCTCACCATCACATGTCCTTCCGGCAACGTCACCCGGTGCATCATCATCGTTGTCAACATCGTCAACAACATTGACGATATTTCTCCCTCAAACTTACTATTCCTTTATTACTTGTGACATAACTTCCTTTTCCTTTGTCCTTATTGCCATTTGCCACTTCCTCATTGTTCTCAACAAACTCAACATTATTGGCATTATTAACTCCAACCTTTCCTGAAATCTGATACACTTATGTAGGCAATTACTGTCATATCCATACATACCCGATCCCGAACCGACTCCTGGACCCCCATCTTCACCACCTCCGGAGTCCTACCCTACTGCTGTCCGTTCCGATATTCACCTTCGGACCTGACACCACTCCTCCTCTCACCCCTCATGCCACCGGTACCCTTCCGTCCTGTTGTTATGTAGCTCTCAGCGGGGACACTCGGATAACAGGGAACAACCAACTTGATATTGTAACCGCACAGCGGTATAAGTAGTTAAAGTAATAACACAGATATCAGACAAAAGTGATAAGAAAATGAGATACACGACACCGCTACATGTGGAAGGCAATCAACAGTGAAACACGAAACACATGGTAAAAGGGTATCATATCGGATAGCCAATATGGGCATGATATGCGTACCGGCACATCGTCATGTCTTGCTCAAACAACACTCCCCCTCAAGTCATGACATCGTCCGTTAGTGAAGAAACAAATTTGGTGAAAACGGGGTTTGGAAGCGGTTTAGTGAAAATATCAGCCAAGTTATCTTCAGAATGGATGTGAAAAATAGAAATATTTCCACGTTTGACGTGGTCATGAATAAAATGATGACGGATATCGATATGCTTACTGTGGCCATGAAACTGAGGGTCATGCGACAACGCTATCGCTCCTCGATTATCACTGTTAAGCCTGAATGGACGCGGGGCCTCAAAACCTAGTTCCGCCATAAGCATATTATGCCAAAGTATGTGCTGAACAGCGTGGCTGATAGCAGCATATTCAGCCTCCAACGTAGAAAGGGCGATAGTGCCCTGCTTCTTCGACGTCCACGCAATCGGTCCACCAGACATAACAAACACGGCACCAGTAATGGAATGGCGATCAAAGTCTTCTGCATAGTTTGCATCAGCAAAACCTTCGGCAGCGAAACCAGAGTCAGATTTCCTATACACGATCCCGCGATTGACAGTGCCTTTAAGACACGCTTGACACCATGAACATGATCGGGTCCATATGTCGTGTTGAATTGGGCAAGATGTTGAGTGGCGAATGCGATGTCGGGACAGGTGTTAATAGCCAACCACATAAGTGATCCGACCATAGTGAGGTAAGGGTAGTTTGGACGGGGGCCAGGGAATGGGGAAAGCTTCCTCTTGGGCGACATGGGTAGGTCTTCGACCTTGCAGTCGGCCATCCCAGCCTGTTCGAGGACTTCATGGGTATAGGACGACTGGGAGATGGTGATGGACTCGCGTGTACGATCTCGCGTTACTTTAATCCCAATGAAATGATGTAGCTCACCAAGGTCACGTGTGTCGAACTTAGACTTAAGTTCATCCTTGACTTGGTCCATGTGAGCATCATTGGCGAAAATTGCGGAGTCGTCGATGTGGAACGCGATCATGGAGATTTGGTCATCTAAGCGCCGAACGTAGACACACGAGTCCGTGAACAAACGAGTGTAGCCCAGATCGACGAGAGCAGCATGCAAACGTCTATTCCAGACTCGGCCCGCCTGTTTCAGGCCATAGAGCGTCTTCTTCAGCCTCAAGACCTTATCCATCCCATCCTCATACCACAGTATCTGCTTCATATAGATTTCTTCCTCCAATTCCCCATTAAGATATGCCCCTACGACATCCATCTGGTGAATCTTCAGGTCTAGCTGCTCAGCAAGTGCCAGCAGGAGCCTGAACGACTCAGTCCGCATCACTGGTGAGAAAGTCTCACCATAATCCATCCCCGGAACCTGCGCGAAACCCTGCACAACCAACCGGGCCTTAAACTTCACAATCTCCCCCTCAGCATCCTTCTTCGTAGCTAGAACCCATCGACATCCAATAACTTTCCGATCCACAGGTGCACGTACGGGTTCGAAAGTGTCCAGGTTTAGTAACTGTGCGACTTCGGCATCCATCGCGGCCCGCCAGTGCTCAGCATGAGGTCCTTGAAGAGCGTCCTTGACCTCGGGTTTCTCATCTGTGAACGCTGCAAGAGCAACAGGGTCACAGTCCCCGCAATGGGAGTACTGTACCGTTGATTGAACAGCACCACAGTCGGAGACAACCTTGAGGAAAGGCTCATTCAGAGGAGTGCGGCATGTGTGGTATGGGCGGATGGGGTGGTTGGACTGATTGGAAGGAGGTTCAGAGTGTTTGGGAAGGGAAATGGGATTGTGGGTAGCATGCTCCCCCTCTTCCTGCGTCGCCTGTCCACTTTCAGCAATCTCCCCCTCAGGCGATGGCAGTGGAAGAGGGAGGGAAGGTGGACTCTCAGGGGTGGGGTTAGGGAAAATGACGTTCCGCGACTTCGCAACCTCCCCGCTGGACTTGTAATACCAGTAGGCAGTGGTCTCCTCTGAGTTGCCTAAGAACCTGAACTTGTAAGAATGGGGATCTAACTTCCCATTCTTACCAGATTGGTCTAGGACCCAAACATCGCACCCAAATATTTGAACACCTGCGACACTTGGCTTCTTTCCAAAGAAGGACTCATATGGAGTTCGGCCATCAAGCGCGCACGTTGGGGTACGGTTTTTCAGGAAAGTGGCGTATGATATGGCATAGGGCCAGAGGGACTTGGGGAGTTGGGAATCGAACAACATGGCACGTGAGTGGTCTAGAACGGTGCGGTTCAGACGCTCGGCAATGCCATTTTGGGCGGAGGAATGGGGAGCGGTTGTCGTGTACGTAGTTCCTTGTTCAGCGAGAAAAGACTTCATCGAATCGTTGAGATACTCGGTGCCACTATCAAACCGGATGGCTTTGATTTTACGATTGAACTGAGTCTGGATGTGAGCAGCAAATCGACGATATTGAGTAACTGATTCAGATTCCTGACGAAGGAATGCTACGACGCTAAAACGGGTGGCAACATCGGTGAATGAAATGAAGTACTGATACCCGCCCTAGCCTAGAACCTGAGCCGGACCCCAGACATCGGTGATGATTAAGTCCCCGACTGATTTATATTTAGTTCTGGACTCTTTGGGGAAAGGCCTCGAGGTCTGCTTAGCTTGGATACAGGCTTCACAGGTGAAATTCAGAGTGGAATTGGGGGTAACCTCCAAGCCTTCAACGACTCCCATGTCCCTCATCGTCCTGAGTGAGGATGGGTTAAGATGTCTGAGGGCCCGATGCCACTCCTCCCAGGTACGACTTTTGGGCGACTTCTCCCCGAAATCGCAGCTAGTATGGAAGGGGCATCGGCCACGACAGTCTGCATGTCAAGATGGTAGAGGTGGTCTTGAATTCAGCCATCACAGAGTGGTGTGCGATCACGCGTGAGAAGTTTGATCTGGCTGGACTGTGTTTGCATGGTACCACCGACATCGTCGAGACGGGAAAGGGATAGGAGGTTGGGTTGGGATGATGGAATGTGTAGACAGTTGTGGAGAG